ATTTTCAGTTATTATTAATTAATAATAATTTTTATATTGTTTAATAATTATTATTTTTGTTAAATTTAATATTTATTAATAGCTAATAATTAATATTAAATAAACAATAATTAATATTAATAAAAGTTATAACTAGAAAAAATGACAATAAGCTCATAAGTAGCGTTTCAATAAGTTAACTTAGACTATGTTTGGCAAACTAGCTGATATGCTAGTTGGTAGATGATGATAGATAAGCTGATTGTTTAGCTTATAAGCTAGCTGAGTAGAGAATAAATCATGTTTCACAAAACTAGCTGATAAAAATGTAAAATAACAAAAATGACAACTTGAAAAAAAAAATTATATTATGAAAATAAACATTGTTAAAATTGTTATATTGCATAAACATTGTTAAAGTTGTTATATATACATTTTGATTACTCAATATATTGAATTACAATTAAAAAAATAATAATATGGAAATAATTGATATGATTAATAATTATCGTATATAATTAGTAAATAATATTAATGTATAATACTTAAAGACTTTTGGCCTAGCGGTTTGTGAGTCATTGACATCCTAGATTAATGGTTCAAACATCACCATAAGTGAAGAGGATGTGTGAGTTTATTTGTTTTATTTGTCGTATATAAATAACATATACTTCAAAAAAAATGTGTAATATATAATTAATAAATATTAGTTATTATTTATTAATAATTAATATTATAATGTTTAAATTTTATTGGTATTTATTTATAATTAATAGTAATAAATAATAATTAATACTAATGAAGGTTATCAATGGAAAAAAGGAACGATAAGCAACCAAAACACTACTCGAAAAAGCATTTCAAAAAGGTAGTTTATATTAATTCAAACATTTACCCTTAAAATAAGCTAGCTTAGTTTTGTCAAACAATGTCTTATAAGCTAGTTTATGCTTGCGAAACAATGTCTTAAATATGAACCATTTTGAATCGAGTATGATGTTTACATAATACCATTAAAATGTCTCACATAAACAACAAAAAAAATCCTCGATTACCCATTAGGAACGGAGGATGAAAACGTCATCATATTTTTACGAGAATGTGACGGAGATTGAGAATCGGGGACGGAAATTGGCATGCCTAGTTAAGGGAGGATAACTCGATTTAAAGAACTTAACCATCAGCATTTCTGTGAGTGTTAACAGTAACATGCTTTGAACATTTTCTAATCTTTATAATGAAATCGAAACCTGATTAGACCCGACAAGAGGATACGGGTTAAGGGTCCATATGAGCAACAAACCATGTATTAGATGGGTTTCTCCAATTCAAAACTTTTCATTTTTGGCAAAATATGTCCTTGAGGTTTAGTATGATTACATTTAACCCCCTGGACAATAAACAACTTACAATATTTTCAATTCAAAAGGTACTTTGACATTTCTTTTCATTCTAGTCCAAGTTTAAGTTTAACAGTAACATGCATGTTCGGATGTTGCCTTTTGCGACGGCACGGACCCTTAAATTGGAACATCATATTTCTTTAGAACATTTGAGTTTACCTTTTGTCATTCCTTTCATTTCCTTTGAACATGATCTATACCTTTCTTCCATTTCTTTGATTGGTATTCGAATTCAATAAATAACTAAGCAACTACACCATTTGTTAAGTTCAATTAGTAGCCAAAGAACTCTGTTTCAGAACCTTGGAAAGGGCACGGGTGGTTGAAGGTGTGGTTCGACAACAACCACCGATGAGTTTGGCTCCAGAATCACGCCATCTTGTTGCGAAAACCTTGAACTTATCATCATTAAAACACTTGGATGGCTGCCAACCAAAAAAGACACGTTTTTAGCTTCATAATCATCAGACACATCTCTTTCTACAATCAAATAACTCACCAGCCATCTCTTGGCAACACCATCCCATATCTCACCGCTATTCGGGTAGACAACAATCACCTTCCCAGTTAACTACAAAAGAATCAAACCAAGATCACAAAAAACGCCAAACCTTAAAAGCCACAAAACAAGAATTCTATCATCAATCTTGAATTACCTCCTTGAATTTCTTGATGAGATCATGAACAAACTGCGGTGGTGCACAATTTATCCCCACGGCTGCAATTCTTTTGCTCGTGTTAAGCACTTCAAGGCACTCTTTAAAGCTCTCCCCTGAAGGAGCATTTACACCATCTACAGAACTGAAACAAACCCAAGATGGGATTTCGACATTTTCTTCTTCAAGTAATTCTGCCACCGCCTGTAAGATCAAGATACACACTTTAGTGCCTAAAATTTTGTAAAGATTCCATGAATTTAAAAGGGAAATGAAACAAGTGATTACTTGAGCTTCTAGCTTATTGGGAATGGTCTCAAAAGCAAGCAGATCAGGACCAGCTTCAACAAGAACTTGCAGTCTACGCCGATGAAAGTCTTTGACCTTATTCAAATCCACATCTGGCCCATAATACCCACTGGTTGCAGAAGCCAGCAACAGTTTTAGAAATACTACAAGAACTCAAAATAGCATAATAAAATAGTCATCTTTTTTACCTATATTCTGACCCATCAGCAAGATATGCACCATAGCTTCCAATGGAGGCTGCAACTAGAGCTCGGTTATATGTATGATCAGGAATCTTTTTAACAGATTCCCAGAAATCATCACGAGCTTCGGTAGCCAACTTTACACTCTTTTCTAGTAGCTTTTCCCCTTGTTCAAGGGACAGTCCCCTTGAAATGAATCCAGGAAGAGTAGCCTATAAATCAACCATGATGATGAAATGGCCATAAAACCCTAGAAATGTTATCCCCTAAACAAAACAGTCTACAAAATTGAACATAACCTCCAATACCAATTCGAATGCCCTAAGCCTAAATTATAGTTACAAAATGCAGGGAATTTTATTAAGTTCTCTTCCAAATCAAAAACTCGGAATGATTAAGCTGATATGAAGATGTACACACCTGATATGAAGAAGTTACGATTATATCAGCACCAGCCTCCAGGTATTCCAAGTGAACCTACATTTTCGAATCGAATAATACATTGCAATTCAAATTCATATTACATCAAAACTCGAATTTTTACGAATCAAATCGAAAAGCGACGGAAACAGGTGTAATTTACCTTGGAGAGGAGATGAGGGTTATCGATCAAGCAAAGTGCGCTCCATAACGGGTCGTTAATGGAGGCGCCATGAAGCTCAAGTTGTGTTGCGAAACCGCCATCAATGACGGCACATCCACCAGCTTTTTCTATGAAATTTTCCAGCGATCCGACCCTATGTTCCTCCACCTCCTTAGGCTCAAATACGATTCCCATTTCTCTGAATTTAGGCGTTCAAATTGGAAATACTGAAACCAACAAATTATAGTGATGATATCTTGGAAAGCCAACAAAAACAGCAGGTTATGGTTGGAGGTGGTGGTGGGGGGACGCGCTTTTAAAGGCATTAATGGCGGAAGAAGGCAGCGGCGGTAACGAATGGGGACGCGTATATTGCTCAGATTCTTACTTGACTTCCACTTTTCCCATTTTTTATATTTTTATTCTTAATTGCAATTCTTTCTTGAATTCTGACTAATATTATCCATAATCTAAAAATGATTTTTTTTATTAAATACAATATCTGTTTAGCATCTAAATTTAATTGTTTTTCTTTTTTTTTCTTTCGTCAAATATTAACCCTTTATATTGATTAAAATTTAAATAAATTCCAAAATTTATGATTATAAAAATATATAAGGTAACTTACGGGTTTGGTTCATATGCATTATGTTACAAGAATCCAATAAAAGGTTTTATAAGAGGATTCATTTTCTTAAAATATAGAAAATAAAATCTTTGTTCCTAGAATAATTATTTAGGTTGTTTGTAGAAAAATAAAGAAAAAAAATCATATTTCTTTAAAATATTGGAAGGGTACTTGTGCAATGCATCAATATATTTTCATTTTAACGTTCCAGTTTTATTTTTTATTCCTGTTGATATAATACGGTCTATCCTTGGTATGAGAGAAAAGATAAGAGACTTCATTGTCTCCCAGATTGGTAATGGCGCTTCCACGTCTGTTTGGTATGATAACTGGCATCCGGCTGGCCCCCTCTACCGGCATATCTCCTCCCGTAGTATTCTCAATTCTGATCTCTCTCTTTCTGCTTCTGTCAGATATATTGTTTCCCAGGGCAATTGGACGTCTCCTCTCCTGAGGGACATTTCAAACCCTTCTATCTGTGTCTCTCCCCTCCCCGTTCTTTCTTCGACCACCCCTGATAAGCTCCTCTGGAGAACTCGGGATGGCCGTCTTACTCCTTTCTCTGTCCGTGAGGTGTGGCTCTCCCTTCGTCCTAATGAGCCTGATGTCTCCTGGCATCATATGGTCTGGTTCTCCCAAAGCATCCCTAGACATGCCTTCATTCTGTGGGTTGCTCTTAAGCAGCGTCTCAAGACGCACGATAAACTTCGGTTCTGGGAGGCTCATGCCGACCTGTCCTGTGCTTTCTGTCAGAACGGGCCTGATTCGCATTCGCATCTTTTCTTTGAGTGCCCGTTCCCTAATATGGTCTGGAATGGCTTAAAAGCCAAGCTGAACCTCAACGGTATCCCGGATATCTGGGTTGATATTATCGGTTTGTTTCAGCAAATCACCAAAGGAAAGACCTTATGGTCTATCATTCGTCGCTTAGTGCTTGCTGCGACCGTCTACCACYTRTGGCAAGAAAGAAATAACMRCATCTTCAAAARCAAAMGAAGATCGCATWTTGCGGTGGGTAAGACTATTATTGATGATGTCCGTTCCAGGCTTCTTAGCCTGTCTTTCAAACCCTCCCTTAATGTTGACCGGGCTCGGCTTGTTTGGAGCCTTCCTTAGCCGTCCTTTTCTTTGTGCTGTTTGTCTGTTTGTGTGAGCTCCTCTGCTCTCCTGGTTTTCTTGGTGCGGTCTAGGGTGTGCCTTTTTTAGGCCCCTTCTCCTGCCCCTGTGGTGTCCCCYGTTGTTTTCCCGGTCTTGTCTTGGCTGGGCCCTTCCCTTGTGGTCGGTTTCTCTTTCTTTCTCTTTCTTTCTCTTTCTCTTCCTCTCTTCTCTCTTCTTCTCTTTCTTCCTCTATCCTTTTCTCTCGGGGTGCCTTGGTTTTTCTGGTGGATGTGGTTCGCCTCCACCCGAGCGCGTATTTGTCTTGCTTTTTAGCGTTTAAGTGTTTTTTCTTGATTTGGAGGGGTCACCTCTCTCTCTATCAAAAAAATAAATCGATATTAATATCAAATTAACTATAGCAAAATAATTTATTTTTTGTTAGCAATATAACTATTATAAAGATAATGATTTTGTTAGAACTCAATTATTATTCTAATTATATTTTAGATTTTCTATATTTAAATGAGATATTTATCATGTATTTGATTATGTTTATTCGCAGTTAATTATACGAATTCAAAACTGAAGCTTTAATAAGTTGTCTTCACCCACAATTTACTTGTAATCTTAAATTTTAAGTAATATATATTACTAGACATTACTTCATACATAAAAAATAGTTTTTATAAGTTTTTTTTTTTCAAAATTTTTATTATTAAAGTACTCAATGGGAAAACATCATGAGAACTAAAAACAACAACCGTAAAGTATATTATCTGATATTGAAAGTATGGTATTGAGTAAAATTCAACTTCTCACCAACAATTTTTGTTGGTTATAAAGTCTTTGATTTAGGAGACTTGGTTTGTTTAATATGTAATTAAGAATGCTCCTTTAAAAACCATCTTAAATATCTTGACTTCAAATCCATTGATTTCAAAATGAATATGGACAGATCCAATTATTTTTTCAAACGATAGCATCATTTTACTATAAAAGATAAATATAGTGATTTTTTTTTTTAAATTGTGGGATCATTTGACTAAAAAATGATGCCATCAGGATTTGAACTCGAATCTAGAATGGAAAAAAAAAAGTCTTGCAAACCAACTCTACTAAAAAACTTGTTTTCATTGCAGTTTCAAAATGTATACGGTGGCACACAATAAATTAATACGGTTGCACCTTTCATGAACCTAATTTTTTTTTTACCTTTCGACGAAGGAAAATAATACGGTGGCAAGTGGACCTATGGCACCATGTTGGGTCCGTCCTTGGCCTAAAACCTTTACTGATAAGAGTGAGGATAATGACTCTTAGTCGATAAACGTTTATCGGTTAAATTATTGTATACTGTAGCACCCTAAAATCCAAAGCAACAGATTGACCCACTAACTTTACATCCAACTTAAAATCATGGTGAAAGTTATTGGTAGTTACAAATTGAAGCTTATAAGAATATAACAAATTCCATTTTCTATCCATGTAAAACAAGTTATTACATATATAATACCATTTTAATAAACTATAATCTTATCCTGCAAAGTAAATGACCTCTTATTAAATATGGTGCAATACAAAAGCACAATATAATACATAATTGTGAACACTGAAATTTATGAAAGCAACACGGGGGTTGGTGACATCTTTGACTTTGAACTTGTCTAATCCATGCTACATCAAATGTTGGTGGGTGAACGGCTATTGATTTTTTATAATTATATTTTTAAGTCATTTAAAATATGATTTAGGGGCAGTTTACCCTATTGCTTACCCGGTAAGTGTTTATCGATGATAGTCAACATTATGATTTATTTTGATACGTAAGATTTTAGTACATCAAAACATATCGAATGTAGGGTGTTTGCGGTCCAGTTTGGGCGGTTTAACCCCTCAGACCACAAACCAAACCGTAATGGCGGTTTATAAAATTTCCAAACCGAGCGGTTTGATATCAAATGCCCAGACCGGTCAAACCAGACTACGAAAAATGTGGTCTGGTTTGACCGGTTTAGGCGATTTGAGCCTTTAATGGACTTTAAATATTAAACTTAAAAAACATATATAATTTAGAATTTTTAATTAAATATCCATTTTAACAACACGATATGTACAAACAAATAAATGTAATAATTAAGCACCTCTTGAGTACAAAATCCTAGCAATCCAAAATCCAAACAAATAAATATATGATACATATTAGAAAATAAACAAATTAACAAAGTTACAACTCTACTGCGAGTATTGAGTAACAAAATCCACAACTTCACAACCTTCAATTCTTGACCAAACAAAATAGAAGGCAAATCTTAGTTGGTTGAAGTCTTGATGATGTGTGCCGAAATCAAACCATGGATTAGGAAAGATTGATAGATTGAGAGTTCTTGAGAGATTTCAAAATTTGGAGACCGTCAATGTCAAATGTATCGATATATTTACTAATTTAATGATTTTTAGGCATCGATTCATTTGAATTTGATTATGTTATATGTTAGGCTTAGGGATATGTTTAGGTTATAGCCCATAAGTTAAAAAAGTTGAACTTGCTAATACTAATATATATATATTTGGCGGTCGGTTTGGTCCAAACCGCCCAAAAAAGGTTTCAGACTGGACTGGACCGCCCGGTTTTGCTATTTTCCAAACCAAACCAAACCGCCAAACCACCAAAAACGGTCCGGTTTGACTTGGTTCAGTTGGTTTGAGCAGTCTAACGGTTTTTTTGAACACCACTAATCGAATGCAACAATTTACTGGGTAAACACTTACATGGGTAAGAGTCGTCATCCTCACTTACCGGATAAGACTCTCCATTATTCTCATCGCTTTTATATGGTAAGATTGTTGATATTTCTCATGTTCATCCGATAAGAAAATTTATCCCGTAAACACATCTACCAAGTAAATGTTTAGTAAGCGGCTGCTTAATAAATAAATAATAATTTCATTTGTACTATCGGTCTGAATGATTACCATCGGTTTTTGAAAATCTTATCTATATTTGGTGTATCAGAATGTTTCTATTTTTAAAAAAAATAAGATTTTGAGAATTTATATTTTTTAAAACCTCATTCAAAATAGAGAAATTATGAAAGAGAATCGTCAAAGTTGAAAGAACTTTTTAAAAACAATTATCATCGATTTTTTTTCCTTAGAAATATTTTAATAATATAATTTATATTATAATTTATAATAATGAATATAAATTTTCTTTAAAGAATTTTGATTTAAGGAATCTTTTAAAAGATGGCTCTAATAGACTTAATTGATATTAGGTGTGTTCATGGGATGGATTGATTGAGTTGAAGACATTTGAACAAACTAACTCTATGTTTGTGGTTTGAAAAATCTTAACCCAACCCAAACCAAAGTGCTACCCAACCCAACCCAAACCATACCATACGGGTTGGTCAGGTTGATACTTTGGTACATTAACATATTCTTCTAACCTTGATTATGTTATTTCTCTATTCATAGTTTCATATACAACTTATCTATACTTATGTATATCACATTCAGTTGATTTTCTCAATTTACATATATATGTTCACAATTACGGAATGTATATACGAATGAGTTATATAGATATGTGAATAGATTAAAATATATGTATATGAAGGGCGTACGTGATAGTTTAATTGTCTAATGTATATATTAATAGAAAATTTAATGATCATATTAAATCCAATAAATAAAAGGGTATTGGGTTCATCAGGTTGGGTTGTATTCAAATAACAGTAAATCAATATCAATCCAATATCTACGGTTTGAAAATTTTACAACTCGATTAGACATCAAATTATTTCGGGTCGAATTATTTCACGTTAGGTTGGGTTTTTAAGCATCCCTAGTTGATAATCGATAAGTCGCTAGTGGATAACTATGATTTTTCCATCTACTATTTAATTCCAGTCCATAAAGGATATGGGTAATCCGGATATTAGCCCAATACGCGGCCCATTAATTAAGCTTACTTACAAGCTAGTAGGCAGTAGCTAGTACCCATCTTTTAATTAAATAAAATTTAATTTTAATTATGTTTTTAATATTTGCAATCTCTCCTTTGACATTGCATTTTAAATTTAAAATTAATTGAAGGACGATTGGTGATTTTACCCCTTTTAGAGTTGTTTTAGAACATGACACTCACCTAATACGAATCAAAACAAAAGAATGCTTCAATAACTTTACCCAAATAAATGAAAGATAAATAGGTCTAACTTGGTACATTAAGATTCATTGGTGGACATGCAGGCCACAAATAAAATTAGGAACCGTTTAACAAACACTTATCAGAACAAGTGTTTACTCGTAAAATTCAACACTATTACTTACTTATTAGGTAAGATTTTAGTTCACCAAAACAGTATTGTATACAACAATTTACATTGAGCGCTAACTGTAGTAAAAGTCGTCGTCCTCATTTACCGGATAAGACTCTTGTTCTTACTTTCGCTCTTACCGGATAAATTTTTTTATTCTTGTTATATTCCTCCAACAAAATAATGTAATTTGATAAATGCTTATCAGGATAAACGTTTAATAATCTCCCTTAAATTAGCACACCCACTGGCTAGAAAGAATCACCAATGGGTTTTTAAATAAAAAAGTCAATCTTTGGTAGATATTCACATTTCACAATTAAATCCTATCGAAATATTTAATACATTTAATATCTCTAACATTTTTATACAAACCTTTAATGAAATTGTAATTTTATTATTCCCTCTCCGGATAAAGACGGTTTTATCCCCTTATTTTTTCATTAAATAATCTCAAAAATCTTTATGTTATATAAAGAATGGTTCAAACGAAAATACCTTCATATTACAAGAGTATAAGAACACTTTCATATTAGGAAAATGCAAAAACACCTTTTCCCATAATTAATCACATTTGACAATACTATATTCCAACACCTACGGTTTACATGTGCATTAATGAGATATGCGAACAACCTTTGACATGACCTAGGTTGTAGGCCAAGTCATTTGTAGGCCCTCTTACGTCTATTATTACATGTGAATAACAATGTTCTTGATGAAATACTATGTATGACCCATCACATGTGATATAAAATCAAACACAATCGACCTTTTACGCGACCTAGGTCGTCAGACACGTTGTCCCCACACCATCACGTTTCTTTACATTTATTATCACATTTGATAAAGGTTTTCTTTGTGTTTTCTTAAAATAAAGATGTTGTCGTTTGAACCTCTGCATATATATATATATATACATACATATATACATATATATATACATACACATACATACATACATATATATATACATACATACATACATATATATACATACACATATATATATATATATATATATATATATATATATATATATATATATATATATATATATATATATATATATATAGAGCTGTGAACAAATTGAATGTTGGGGAGTATTTTATAGTAAATATGAGAGTGTCATTTAATCTTCTCATCTGCCTCATCCCCAACACAATTCTCCTCTCCCATCTTAATTAAATCTTCACCTTCCCCCTGCTTACAAATATTACATATACTCCCCTTCATATCTTCTCTCATTCACATCTCTCGCTACATCTTCTTCACCCTCAAACCACAAAATGCTCAAGTTCCCAAAACAATCCTATGACCATCTCATCAACCACTTCTACTCCATCATCCTCATCCTCCTTATCATCATCTTTGGGATCTCCATTCCAGCATTTCAACGAACCCCATTTCACCTCTTCAATCATCTGTCTTTCATTCATGGACTCGCTTTCTATCTACTCGCCATCTCCATTCTCATGTTCTACTTCTTAAACAAGCCAAGAACCGTCTACCTCCTCGACTTTGCTTGCTTCAAACCTTCACCCGTTCTTCGAGTTCCCTTCGCCACCGCGGCTGAACACGGCCGCATCATCTTGGCATCTCAGCCCAAAAGTATTGCTTTCCAAGTTAAGATCTTTGAAAGATCTGGTTTGGGTGAAGAAACATGTTTACCACATCCATTACACTATCTACCACCAAACCCTAATATGATGGATGCTAGAGATGAGTCCCATTTGGTCATATTCTCAGCCATGGACTCTTTGTTTCGACAAACTGGACTTGACCCTAAAGACATCGATATTTTGATCGTTAACTGCAGCTTGTTTTCACCAACTCCTTCTATTTCAGCCATGGTGGTTAACAAGTACAAGATGAGAAGTAATGTCAAGAGTTTTAACTTATCAGGAATGGGGTGTAGTGCTGGATTGATATCCATAGATTTCGCCAAAAACTTACTCCAAGTTCACCCCGAAGCATATGCAGTTGTGATCAGTACTGAAATAATTACCCCAAATTCTTATATGGGTAAAGAAAGATCGATGCTTCTTCCAAACTGTCTTTTCAGAATGGGAGGTGCAGCAATCTTGTTGACCAATAAACGGTCGCAACGTAAGCATGCAAAGTACAGTCTCTTGCATGTGATTCGAACCCATAAAGGATCCGATGAAAAATCTTACCGTTGTGTTACACAAGAAGAAGACAAAGAAGGGCATGTGGGTATAGCTTTAAACCTTGATCTCATGGTGATCGCTGCCAACTCTTTGAAGGCCAACATCAGCACCATCGGGCCATTGGTGCTTCCGCTATCAGAACAGCTCTTGTTTGTGTTCAATCTTATGGGAAGAAAGTTTCTTAAGCTTGATCTGAAACCCTACATTCCTGATTTCAAGAAAGCTTTCGATCATTTCTGCATTCATGCAGGTGGACGGGCTGTAATCGATGAACTCCAAAAGAATCTGAGGTTGTCACCGGAGCACGTTGAAGCTTCAAGAATGGCGTTGCACAGATTTGGAAACACATCGTCATCTTCACTGTGGTATGAATTAGGGTATATAGAAGCGAAAGGGAGGATGAAGAAAGGAGATAGGGCATGGCAAATAGGGTTTGGGAGTGGGTTTAAATGCAACAGTGCGGTCTGGAAATGTAACAGAGATATTGAAGCTACTAAAAATGGTGGTGCATGGGATGATTGCATTCACAGGTACCCAGTATACGAGCCAGATGTGGTCAAGCTCTAAACTAGGGTTGAAATTGTCATTTCACTTTCGTACGTGTGGCCTAACTAGAACATTTAATTAACCTCAAATAAATAAGATTTCAGGTGTTGTTATATATAGGTGGACCTGTATTACTTTTCGGTATATGTAGTTGGTAAGCACTTATCGATGATGTTTATCGGGCAATAATTTCTTTCACTTACTAAGGAAGACTCTCAGTCTTGTTACAATTATTGGGTAAGATTCTCGATCCTAATATGTTAAATTGGTAAGATAGGTTATATCAATAAATGCTTACTGAATCTTCAGTAAACAGCCCATTGGGCTATAAAAGTTATATACTTTTCTTTTCCTTTCTTTGTAATATGGTCATACTAAAAAAGGCCAAACATATGGTAATACATTATATTATAAAGATATCAACGTCGTATATTATGTTTGTTTTAGTGACGGTTTTGGAAGTGTTGAGAAAAATTGTAACCAATATTCTCAAGGCCAAATAAAGGTAACATTTGTAAAATATTGTTTCAGATATGAACTAAATATTTGCCACTTTTTATATTATGTCCGTTTTTCTTTCAACTAACTGTTCAGAATAATCATTAAACTTTCTTTTTATAGAACCCTCGATATTAATTTCCTTTAAATAAAGATTTTTTTTAATTTTAAAGCTTTTTTCTGTCTGCCATGTTTCCTTTGATCATCATGTTGTTAGAGAGTCTAAACAAGTCGGTTTCATTCGGGAATTTCTGGTGAAACCGAAGCACTGATATGACTGCAATCGGTACGGTTGTTAAAAGCATCCAACGGAGCTACGTTTTCTATATATCTTCTTGTAATTTCTTTAACTCAACCAGATTGAAGATTCAAAATAATAGCACATGATACAACTACTAACAAAGAAGTTAGGCTGTAAATTAGATGTTAGCTAAAATGTTGGTTGCTAAACGATAAACTAACTATTAGTTGTTAAACCGACAACCAAGATGGGGCAGAATAGCAGAGTAAATACAAGTATTAAAAAATGTGTTCCTCAATTGTGGCCTCTTGGAAGAATCGATAACTGCATTTTTGTGTACTTGTATATGATTCTAAGAAAAATAATACACATTAATTGTTATCTTTTCTTAAAAGCAATAGTTGGTATCTAAAAATTATAATTTCATAGTTTAATAAAATTAAAGACTATGTATAATTGTGATAGCTTATAAATGGGGAAAGTGACTCAAATGACCATATTTCATAACCAAATTAATCTTCTAACTATTTTTTCTTCGGACTTTATCCAAAAGTCACTAGTAAACGACAAAAAATTCAACGTTTTTGGGTGAGGTTTGTAACCACTGGTATGCAATACCCAGTTCTGCAACTATTGTGAATTCGGCCAAAAACCATTTTCCTATGAAGGTGGACACTTATGGATTCAAGAAAATTGAGTTTAGGGCCGGATGCGTAATAATTACGGACCTATGGTTACGAACCTAGGCCAAAAACTCTAATATTTTGTTGTTTAGTGTATTGCGGACCTAGATATTGCAGACGTAGTAAATTTTAGATAAATTTTGAAAAAAAATATATTTAAGAGTTCAATTTAATCATAGAATATAATCATTTATATGAATTTCCCTTAAAAATATTTGTAGAGAACGCATGACATGGCATATTTAGGTTATGACTCACTAAAAAGTCATTAAAATTTGGGTACATAGGCCCATACAGGAGTTATGGTTTTCTACCAACCCACCGTGAATGTTTTTATATCGTAATTTATTGCCATCTCCCTTCCCCTATTGTATCTCCAATATATATATAAATATAATATAGAGATATATAGGATTAGTTTTAGGAGAAAAACATAAAAATAAAGAATCGAATAACACCTTAGTAATCATTCATCTGTACAATAATGCATGTGTATAACATGTTTACGTGCATTATAAAAATAAACATCTTTAATTACTTGTATGATCTTCAATCACTTGTATGTACATAAACCTACCGTATATGCAGATAAATGGTTATGAGGTGTTCCTCATTTTTATTCATTTTTTCAAGGGTTCTCCATGAACCTCACTCTGGGTATTTTACACACACACACACACACACACACACACACACACATATATATATATATATATGTATGTATGTGTGCATGTCCAAATGAGAACACTTTCATTTCATAAAAAACGTGATAACACTTTAATCCCATGTGATAATACACGTATAAGGACCTGGTGGTGTGCAAATGACTTGGCCTACGATCTAGGTCGCACCAAAGATCATCGTATGCGTCTTTGATTTAGTATCACATGTGATGAATTATTGTATCACATAAAGAACACTCTTATCACATGTGATGATATATCTCATAGGACTTAGTGACTTGCAGGCGACTTGGCATGTCACTGATTTATTATCACAAATGTATCATACGTGATGGACTATGGTATCAAATGTGATTGACTTAGTTAAAAAGGCATTCTCACGTTTTCGTAAACTGAAGTGTTCTCGTTTGAATTCTCCCCCCGTACGTATATATACATATATATGATTGGGTTTACGGACAAAAAGCTAAAGAAACGGAAAACTAGAAAACTACGAAAGAACGGATGAGTATATCAATATAGATATCAACTTATTGATAAAAATGTGATTTTTTATGTAATTTGTTTCGTTCGAATTTTAATTATATGTCGTATTTTTCCGATTTATGTGATATACGGGTTATATTTTTGGAAAGTTTTGAGGTTATTTTTGGTTAAGTGATGAAAGTTGGGGGTATGTTTTGAAAATTTGCTTTAAAATATTTCAATGTCTCCACCGCCTCGTTCCATAAAGATATATATACGTGTGTGTTCTTTTTATTTATTTCCCATTTTCTATTATGTGTGTTGAGATAAGAAAAGTTGGAGAGAAATTTTGTTTCTCGAGTTCGAAGTTAATAGAAGAGAAAGAAGAAAAATCTGATACATATTTTATCTGATATGTATTTTATCAGTTTATTATCTTTAATTTAATATCCTTTTCGATATATATTTTCATCTGTAGTTCTCCATTTTTTTTCAAAAATTTCTTTGGATCTTTTCTCTATGTTGCAAGAGTGAATTTTGGATTTGGTCCCTATGGTTTACATTCTACCCATAGTGGTCCTAAAATCAAAATAAATACATATTTGGTACCCCTAGTATGCATTTTCGCACCTATTAAGTCCCTCCCTCTAATGAGTTCAAAAGGCTTCCATTAACCCAATTAAGTTTAGGGGCATTTGGATCATTTTTCACCTTTTTTGTCTTTATCCTAATAAAATAAAAATATATAGATATATATTATATATATGTCGTCCCTTCTAGAACTACACAACCATTGTATACCTCACCCTTCTAGCCACGGTTCCTTTGATCATCCTCCCATTCATCTTTGGTGAACTACATGTGTCGTGCCTTTCAACAAATCGAGAGGGATCATCTCTTAAAAATCGAAGATAAAATTTTATCTCTTCTTATCTCTTTCAAACGCCCCTAAACTTAACTGGGTTAACGGATGCGACCTTGGTCGCAGGATTGCTGGTAAGAGATCCAAAGCTTGGTCACTGGATTTGCAGTTCCAGGTAGCATAGGAGAGGAGGAGTCCTGAAAGAGTGTGATTCAAATCAAAATCGAGGTTTTAAAGGTAAAGCATCATATTGTGTCCATGTAAGAGGGAGGAAGACTGCAGCGGCTCCGAAACCTCCAATATCGACCCAACAATCCTATCGATACCATCATCTTCAGAACGACTCCTAAACCCTTGGACCCTAACAAATAAGTGCCCTATTTTTTTTAACATATCTGAAACTTCTCCCTCCTCCCTTTGATCGTACTTGTGGTTCCAGATCAACAACCAACAATGAACAAACTTAACCCTAATCAAAAACCAACAAAAGCACCAACATGGAGTAGATCTGTATCTGAACAATGATGTAAATGGAGGTTTAAAAGGGGATGGGCATGTAGATGGAGGTTGAGGCTGAAGACGGAGATGGAGATGGGGACGGTCGGATACCATTTGGGGAAAAAGAAACAGGGGAGGATGTGTGTGTGTGTGTGTAATTATTTAATTGTTTAAAAGGATAAAGACAAAAAAGATATAGGACTAAAATACCTCTGGACTTAACTGGGTGAACATAATCTTTTTTATTTCATTAGAGGAAGGGACTCAATAGGTGCCAAAATACATACCAGGGGTATCAAATTTGTATTTATTTTAATTTTTGGACCATTATGAATAGAAAGTGTAAACAAAACAGACCAAATCCATAATGTACTCATTACAATTTCTAAACTATAGGGATGAAAATCATAATTTTTTACAAATCACGGGAAAAAAATACATAATTTATATATTCCTTAAGTATCGGGGACAAAAAAAAAAGGCAAAGTAATTGTAAATTATAAAGACAAACCAATAATAAATTATAAAAATGAAAATAGTAATTAATTGTAAACTTTAAAGACGAAAATTGAATTTCTAAACTATGGGATGAGAATTTTAACTTTTAACAAACCACAAGGGTGAAAAGCGTATTTACACTATATATATAGAGAGAGGAGAGGATAATGTATCTTATTTAATAAATGAATTGAATAAAATATTATTATATTAAATTAAAAAAGATATAGATTTTTGTATCTCTAATATATAGGATTGAGTTAAATTAAATTAAATATTAAATACTTTTTTAAATAATATAAACACTGTAAGATATTTAATCTAAATTCATTATTGATAGTAAACATAAAAATATTATGAAAAGTATTATTTTTAAAGTTTACAAATTAATGTTATTCATTAAAAAAACTAGAAGGTATTCGTACAATACAGCGAGATATATCTTGATTTTATTTATTTTGTCTCAGTCGATGTTATAATATGGTTTTATGTAGTTTTGAGAAAACAATAATGTTTTTATTTTTTAATAAGATATAAATACAAAGATATCATAAAAATTTAAAAAATGATTGATATTAGTACCAAACTAATTATTTAATATTTGTCTTCGTGTATTTCTGTAATTAAATTTTATAATTTTTAAATGAGATGTTTATCTTTTATTTGATTATCTTAATTATATTTTATATTTTTTATATTTAAAATGAAATGTTTATCATTTATTTGATTATGTTTATTCCCAGTTAGTTACAATAATTCAAAATATGAAGCTTT